ATATATACACACACATCTATGTATTTGTATGTGTGGTGGGTTGATCCTGGCTAGCAAATAGGCCTCTACCCAGCCACTCACTCACTTTTCCCCCAGCAGGATGGGGGAGAATCAGAAGGGTAAAAGTGAGAAAAAATTAATGAGTTGAGATAAATATGGTTTAGTAAGTGAAGAGGAAAAAAAAAACAAACCACAACCCAAAACCCAAGTGATGCAAAGGCATTCACTCACCACCTCTCACAAGGAGACCAATGCCCAACCAGTCTCCAAGCAACAGCTACTTCAGAAAAACTCCCCCTACAACTTTATTGCTGAGCATGACATTATATGGTATGGAGTATCAGCTACCCTGGCTTGTGCCCCCTCCCAACCTCTTGCTTATTCACAGCCTGCTTGCTGAGGGTGGGGGACAGAATGAAAAACAGAAAAGGCCTTGATGCTGCACAAGCACTGCCCAGCTACAGCTAAATACTGGTGGGTTATCAACACTGTTTTGGTCACAAATCTAAAACACAGCACCATACAGACTGTTAGGAAGCTAAGTAACCCCATCCAGACAAACCCAGTACAATATGTAAGAAAAATATCTCCCCTCCCAGATGTAGTTTCTGCAGACATAGTCTATATGACAGCCCTTGGGTTGTGAACAGCCTGAAGAGCAGACCCCCAATGTGGAAGAAGCTCATGACCATTAAATATCTCAATACCATCTGCAAGACTTTGCAGTAACTGTGTGAAAGTTAGCGCTTCACAGGTCAAGAGGCAAGACCCACCTCTCAAGTGTGAGGAGCCTGTATTCTCTCCATGTCAGAGAAAGTTGTGTTATAAGACTATATGGCTTTAGCCTGCTATATCAAAGGCAGAAAGCATTTGTAGCCCCTTTCAGTAACCTGAGCTAACAGATCACTGTGCCTCAGACACTGATCTCGCTAGCCTACACTGATAGCTTTGTGCATAGTTATCATTTTTCCTTCTGCCTAGCCCTGGAATCTGGTAGGGACAAAAAACACCAAACAAAAAAAAAGACAGAAAGAGAAAGAAAGAGAGAAAAAGAAGGTGTAAAATAAATTACAATTCACTAGAGTGAATTATACATTTTTGAAGAGTCACTGCAAAAAGCCACATCATTGGCAAGAGCAACTCAAAGCAAAATACACAGAAGTCTGGTCTGATTGATCCACCATGCACCATCTAGTAACAGCAGTAAACAGATTTTTTTTTTTTTTAGGAGAATATATGTTGTCTTCAGCAGCTCTCTCTCTACACTGATAATTAATGGCTGTTCTTCCAATGATCTGATGACCAGTTTACGTTATTTTACACCTTCTTGCCTCCCAAGAATGGATTTTGAAGATGGACAGTACCAACTCCCCCCCCTTTTTAGCTCTACCCTTTTCACTTCCAAATTTAAGCAGGAACTATACACTACAATTTAGTTTCACATCCACATTCTCTCACACACTTTGGCAGATAAGAAAAAAACAACCCATTATGTTTTTACTTTTCATATAAACTTACTAAAATGAATAATCCTTTGTTCTCTATTCTAAATCTGGAGTAAGGATTCTGGAAAAATAATTTTAAAAAAAGGTTCCCAAATTTTTACTGTACAGCATTTAAAGCCCTGTGAAAAGTGGGGATAGAACAGAAAACAGTGTGTATAGACGTACTAGCACAAGTATTCAACCATGATTTAGTTATTAAAGTAACACTTCTACAGAAAATTATACAATTAATGAACAGATTTTTGAGGCAAAAAGACAAAATTTGCATTTCAAAGAGAAATGAAATACCTCTGAATGTTTATTAATTTTTGCTAGCTCTGCTGCTGTTTTCCCATCCTTAGTCTGTAGATTTTTGTCAGCTCCCAGCTCAAGTAACTTAAAAATTACACTTTTATGTCCATGCTGTGCTGCCCATATTAATGCCTGCAAAGAACAATTTTGTTTTACCAAGTTTACATATGGAGCAAAAAAGAACAGAGGTTCAATCAATAATGCAACCTTTACAAGCTCTTACATGGTAGAATTGTCTGGAGACAAAGACAAGTAATGCAAAGGATCTCCAACTGGTTTTAAAGCAGAATAATATACCAATGAGTATTTCTGAAAATTTTATATGCAGAAACAAGATTGTGGGTTCTTGTTTTTAAAAATTTTTACGATTAATTACAATACAAAGAAGTAAATAACTTACTGAATATCCATTTTCATCTTGGGCATTTATATGTGAACCATGAGCGACAAGAAGAGCAACAACCTGGGGATAGTCTTTTCTAGCTGCATACATCAGTGGAGTCATTTGTCTCCTGAAAGAAAAGGGGACAGGTGAAAAAAATGATTTCAAGATACCAAAATCCACTGCATTATCAAGTAGAGCACCTCAGTTCTGTAAAGATTCTCTGTTCTGTGGAAGTACTAAGCAGATGATGAAAGCCCAAGACACCACATTCATGCTTTATCACAAGGGTTTACTTAACAGAATGTACAGATTCAGCAACTCATTTATGTCGTTGGCAATCTTTTAAGAGGTGGCATTTATTTTCTGATTGAAATGAAGCCAAAAATTCAATTGTTGTCCTTCACAAGAAGGAAACTTAGAGGAAACTAAACAAGACCTATAGTACTGCAAGAAAAAGTTTAAAAAAAAAAAGTAAAAATCAATGTTTTATCACCTCTAAATTCAAGTAGCATATTACCACACAAACAACCTTAATATGTCACGCTACGAAACACAGGAGCTTGGTGACTAAATCACTTCTGGTTTGTTCTGAACTACACAAAACCAGCTTGTAAAGACCATCTCTCCTGCTGCTACCACAGACCCAGCAGCAGGCCTCTCATTTAGCACATCTATGTGCTTAATGAGAAGGGAATGAGCGTAACTGCAGATCATGGTTTTCACCCTACTAAAAGCAGAAAATACCATCAAATCAACCATTTATTCCCTCAATGGAAAAAAAAAGTGTCAGACTTTCATTTTTTACTTCAAAAATTGCTTTTAAAAGACTCAGCGTGATTAATTCTACATATAGTTTAATTTAAATCCAAAATTCTGAAAAGAAATATGCAGTTTTGTGGAGGGTAAGATGTAAACACAACTGAATATTTAAGAGGAAGAATTCTAAGAACAACAACTATGTACCTACTTGCCAAACCCTCTCTGGTAAAAACAATGTAAGCAAAAGAATCCCAGTCACACAACTCTTGTGGATGTGCACAGGTGCAATGCAATAGCGCAGAGTGCACACATATTATCAGCATTCAGACACTCTGCCCTCTCCCCGGGTATGCCCACAAAGAGTCTTCAGAGAATTACATACAAATACCATGCTGAAAATCTTGACTTTTCAAGCACTAACGCTAAATGCAAAGCAAAATATTTTTGCCCTTTATTCTATTTGTTTTCTGTTACCATAAGTGTGTGTGTTGAAGCTTTCTCTCCTACACATATCACTATTTCTTAAAATAGCTGGAGTACTTACAGACACATGTTTACCATTATTGTTTCTTTTTTTATATCTGAAAACCATGATAACAACAGCCTATTGATCTTATGCTTCTATTCAGATACTTATAAGATTAAGCCATTGTGAATTGCTCTGAATATTTTGAAAGAAAAAAAATATCGCTCAAAAGCTTCTCTTAGAAACGTATGCCTGATACTTATTCTTTGGTGGAATAAGACTGCAGAATTTTTAAAAATGCAGTATTGGAGGACAAAGATGTGAAGTTTCTGGCTGCTATGAAGTAATCAGATTTAAGCTAAAATATTTTACTAGTGTTGTTCAATTAAAATTTATTTTATCTTAAAATGCAATATTTTTTCCTGGAAAGCTATAATGTATTGCTTTTAATGTACAGCTCTATGTCAAAAATCTGCTGTCAAAAATTTACTTGTTAGGAGATACTTGAGGGGAGGATCACTCTTTACAATATTGTTTCTTAATAATAAATTCAACACCGACCTCTAGAGGGACCCTGAAAAGCGTATGTATACCAAAGCAGCTGCCTTAAAAAATAGCCTTTTTGCCTACTTCCAGAGTATTGCTAGAACTAAGGCTTTGCTCATCTTTCCTTGTTATTGCTCATTCACAAAAGCATAATATTTTGTCTTATGCAAACACAGTTAAAAGTACAGTCTTATTATAAAAAAAATCCAGTTATATTATAAATTTGAAAGAGCCCTATGACAGGGGAAAAAAGTAAATTACTTCGAGATAAGCAGCATGAAAGGTAACCAGGCCTTCAAGACATACAGGCACTCAGAGAAAGGAACTTGGTAATGAAATTAAAAGACTTGCATCAGTGTATAAGTAATTCGATTTAGTCTATCAACACTGCAAAATCAGAAGTTCTGACTGAATATGAGGAGACATTTTTCACCTCGAGGCACGGTGAATTGGTGGAACTGTCTGCTCAGAGAAATTTTGTAGTCTGTCTTTGGTGGGTTTTGAGACCAGATGGCAACCTAGCCCAATGTCATAGAGGAGGTGTCTTTAAGGAAAAAGTTGGACTAGAGACCTCCTGAGGTCCCTTCACATTACCCTGTGATCCTATGAAGATTACCATAAAAATAGACAAAAAGACTCTACAATCTGCCCCATAACTTAACAACTAACTGATAAGATAGTGAGATATAAATATCTATATAGAGACATAAGTATCTATAGATATCTATATTTTAAAGAATGTTGATTATACCCCAGTAATTTGTAGCAACAGAAATCAAACTTGCTTGCCCAATGTGGACACTCACTCCCACACTTATTTCTGTTCAGTGGCAGGTAGCCAGACTTTCCATGCTATCACCTTTGAAGTATTTACATCTAACTCCAAAAGCAGTCCATTCATGCCTGTTTTAATTTTCATTTCTTCTGCTCTCAACCTTCCCCCTCCCCCCCTTTTTTTTTGTTGGAACTTTCACACTGCTACTACCTCACAATTACCTGCTGCTTTTTCAAAGGAAAAATACTGAACAAAAGTCCAGTGGCTACGGAACAGTCTTTTCTCCAAATAACATCATGTAGTGGTTACAGCTGTACAGTACTGCAGACATGGTATCTGAAATCAAGGCAAGAACTCAGTGACATTAAAGCCACTCAAAAAGTTTCTCCACTTTAAGTAAAACCCAGTAAACATGAAGGTCCAGCAACATGAATACCCAATTTTCAAGCATTCAATTTTAATGTTCAAGTTTTAATTTCAAAGGCTACAAGCTGTTTCAAGGTAGAAACATAAACAGTGCGGCATAAATTTGCAATTGCTTTTACTCATCACTGTATATGAGGGGGTACCGTTTAATGTCTTGGACATATGCTGCACAGGCACCACCTCAGAAAGCAAGGTCCATTTAAACGTATGTCCACAAGAGGGAGACCAGAGCATTAGGGAAAACAAATCTTGTTTTCCTAACCCTGCCAAGAACCCCTTCAAATACAACAGCAAGCTTTAAGATGCCAAATCCATTGCTTCTTGCTAAAGTTGAACTGAAATTAAATGTATAAGTACAACTTACTACAATCTAAAAATGTACATAGAAGCCGTAGTGATAACCATCCAGATAAAATACCTGAAGAATTCTTTTGCTATATTGAGGAACTGTGTAGACATTTGCACTTCAGCAATCTGGCTTGCAGAAGACCCTCTTCTTCAAACACCTGTAAAGTCCTTTTGTATGCTACAATTTGCCATGACATTTGCCCATATTGAACATGATGGTCAACAAATAATATCTTAAAAGGCATATAAGCAATTTACTAATTAAGCATGATGTCTGTTCCAACATATCTGCTTCCAGCTATGCAGCACCTAAATAAAAAGCAAGGAATTCTTACTGGTTTCACACAAATGAAGGGATTTTTGTTTGTTTGTTTTTATCTTTACTTCTCCTTGCTTTTATGTTAAGGCTGGAGAAAAAGACAAAACCAAAAGGTTTTTCAGTTTTCAGGGCCATCCAAAACTTTGCATGTGACATCTACACAAAGATACAAGAACAGGTTCTCATAGGCTCACTTCACCCTGTCAAAAAAATGGGGCAAAACATAATCACAAGAAAGCAAGCTGAGTGGAACAGCCCTAAAAGCTACGACTTGGAGCCTCCTAATGTGGATAAGCACGTGCCATGATAAAACCAGGTGATACAGTGACAGCTATCTCACTGAAAAATGTCCTGAGTACTTGTCTGTTACCACTAAGCTGAATCTGTGGTGCAGAATTCACCACACCTGACAAAGACAAAATCTTATGTTTGGGATCCTGCTCTCAAACAAGACTAAGTTCATCTTCTTGGAAAATGTCTGAAGAGGGAGGAGAGGAAGAGAAGAGGTATTCCATCTGGACACAGGTTTCCTGCCCTCAAGAGGCTTATCTATAGAAAATTCAGTATTTCAGGTTGGTAATCTTGAGAAGTATAAGCTGTATGTAAAGTCTCATAACTGGATAAATGTTTATTAGCTAGACCAGTGTATCACTAACATTAGAAAAAAATACTGCAGGTAGAAAACAATTTAACCTTACGAGTTTAGTCTCAGTCTTTTCTTGTTGAGATCCCAAAGCAATGACATGGTGCTACAAGATACTAATACGTCAGTCTATTGATCTGCAAACTGAACACTGCTTCAGATAACCAGGAAGCATCTTCAAAAGCTTTTGGAGCCAGTTTTGCCATGCCAGTTCTGTACACTAAACTTCTAACTGTGAAATGAAACGGTAACAATGTGTCCACAGCAACGGAAGGAAAGCTACTTGTCCCTTTTCTGGGTTGGGGTCTTCAGTGATGAGGTGGGAAACAAATAGTATTGGAAGAACACACTTCAGTGTACTGTGAGCTGCAAGATACTTTTTCCAGGCACTGTTTGCTGGGGCAAGGCAGGAGAGTCCCCCACCTTCTTGAAGCAGAACTTGTTAGGTGAATGGAACGTACAGCCCCAGAAAGAAGGTTGGGCTGTAAAAGGTGACAGCTTAGTTTCAATTTCCCTAGTTTTCAGCTTCATTTCAGATTGCCAATTCTTGTACCTTTCTGCTTCTGTACACTTTACACGATTGTTTTAAAATTTAAAAAGGTATCTGTGTAAGTTCTACAGCACACAGAGGTGGGAAGGTAGACAGCTATAAAGTTATCTTCATATGACTAGAAAAATACAAAGGATGTGATTATAAAAGGGATTAACATAAAAATTAACAAGGTTGGCAGACCTCTATGCTATGACATATCCTGCCTGATTACCCTACCCTATCCTACATCCTCACTCCATCACATTCCTACACCCAAGCTGATTTAGCTGAAGACATGCACACTTTGATGTAAAGCAGAAAAACAAATGAGTTATCCACACAACCAGAAACTTCTCTGATCATTTTCAACCTTACTTTCAAAGTGTGGGTAAAGTCTCCAGTCAAGAAATTCAGTACATACACGTGGAATCTACTCCACCCTCCTAATGAAAGGGTAATTCTCTGTCATGTAAAAACTCCAAACCAATTCTATGCAAATAACCTATGATCAGGGTAAACTAGTGGCAAGGACAGGAAGTTTAATATAATTGTGTTGCTGATATAATGCTAGTAATTTCAGTGTAGGTTTTGTTTCTATTTTACATAAAGGCTGCCCAGGTGACATTCCAAGACACTGCAGTACATTGTCAGAATGCTTCTGTGAAAAACAGCATTTAATGTTGCTACTGTCCCTGAATATTTTATACCTCTGCCCAGAAAGCACAATCAACATTTGTAAGTCTATTGGTACCACCGCACAGTCAATATTAGCCAGGAAAAGTACAGTCATCTATTTCAGTGTCTAGACTCATTGCCTCTACCAAAAGATCTGAAGTGGATCAAAGATCTTGACTCAATCAGTATTAAATCCCCTGATTTTCTTGCCCCAGCCATAAAACACACTGTAGTGCATTAACTTTTCCCAAGCTATTTACCTTTACTGAAATGCACTGTTTCTCATTTGGCATGGTTAACTAGCACACAATGATAATGTCAAGGTCTTTGAAAATATCATCTGGCAGTGTAGACTTACTATCTTATCAGCAGCAATAAACATCTTGCTAGAACAGAGGTGTTACACAATTTCTTTATTGTGACTACACAGCCTGAAGAGACCTACTCCATTATCAACTTCAAGAGGGCAAAATAGAACAAGACTTTCATCATGAAACCATTTTTGATACTCCTCAAGACTGCTCTGAATGTAAGCATAAGTGAACATACACAGGCAATTTAATACCAGACCTGAGTAGTGATTATATTTTCATTATATATATCATTCATGTACATAACAGTATGCTTCAATCTCAACTTTTCATCTGTACAATGACAAAAGACAGAAAAAGGTCTCATTCTTCTAATACTCACCCTAAAAAAAGAAAAAAATGAAGAGTTTCTGAAGACTTTTCTTTAAACATACACAAAATTTATAACCACTTTAGAGCAGACACACTGAAGACTTGGTCACTGACTAGGATTCAATTGTGCTACAAATTTTAACAGTGAGGGGGAAAAAAGGTCACACAAACAAAATCAAACCTCCACATATCTCATACAGAACAACAGACAAAGAGCTTATGTCAATATAAAGGAGCTTTCAGTCATTCACCTGTCTGTACCTTCTTCTAGCAAAGAGCTATTGGCATGAAACATCAACTCACAACACTCTCCTTACTGGCAAAGCCATTAGGTTATTTCTACTCCATGTAAACAAGGACTTGGAGGATGCCATCACTAAAATCCACATTTACTGAACAACCTATGACATGTAACCCTAGCAGTAGGAATTTAGTTATCAGCTGGTCAGGCCTTTTCCTTCTGCCTATAACAAAAAACACAGCTTAACATTAATAAAACCAGTTCACCTTTAAGAAAACACTGCAGGTTAAAAGAGGTGTGGGGTTTTTTTTTTTTTTTTTTTTTTTTTTTAAAAAGACTGCTTAAGTATTTCCAGCCCTTACAAAAGGATAAAGCATATAATTTACATTTTGGAGCAAGAGGAAGGTGAATGATACAAAATAAGCAGAACAAATTTCTCCAGGTAGCATTCACTTAAGTTAAGCACTTGGGCTACAGCTCCTCTACAAAGACTATACAGAGCAGGTCTTACAACACCTTCTTTTTTCACCTAGCTATCACCTTACTTCTTGTTCATCTTTCAAAACCCTGCAGTTAGCATTTATGCTTTGACATACTACATTCTCATTAACAAAACTATTTACAGCCATCAGGATTCAGTTCCCAATTTTGACTTACCAAATAACAGAAGTTACTCTACTGAATACTTTCTCCTCAGTACTCTATCCTATTGCAAAGAAACCACCTTCTTTCTTAGACTGCACTTTTCAGTTTATTTCTCACTAGTCTTTCCACACTTCATGAATTGGACAAAAAAAAAAAAAAATTGCAGGTTTCTGCGTATCATCAGCAGATGACATGAAATAATAAAGCCTACTAGCTGTCCTGACAGAGTAACAGAGAAAGGATAAATACCAAACTCTACCTTACAACAAAGTATTCTGCTTTGCATTCACACACATTCCAGTTGTTGTTGGGACAAAAGAGAAGCTTCCTAAAATCACCCCAGTTCTTAAGTGCTGAGACAGCTAAATAATGTGAAGCTTAGTTCTTAACACCTGTGGTAAGCTGATCACACAGGAAGTACTCTCATAATAATCTCAACCCACTGACAGTTCTGATGGCCTCCTACAGAACATACTGCTTGCTCTAATGAAATGGGCAAAATGAGATTGCAGTGCCACAGAGAGGGTCTGTGTTAATCCCTTATCTTCACAGACCTGGTTTGATGGGTTTCAACCTGATTTCAGAACACAGTGGAAGAAGCCTACAAGAAGCAGCAGCTGCTGCCCGAGCAGGTCTAATGATGGGAGTAGTAGGCACAGATGTCAAATACTGGAAAGGAAAAAAGAAAAAAGGCAGCATGAAGATTTTTTGAAAAATCCAGACCCTGACACCTAACTTCTACTTTTTGGGATATAAATATGACATTTCTGATTGTCACTTAATTATCTTTTCATTTGAGAAAGACTACTATTGCAAAAGTGAAAAAAAACCACAACTGTACTCTCTATCTGATGTATGCAAGCGTAACTCATATGTTAGCACAAGGACTTAAGAAACAAAGAGATAGCAAATAAATATTTGTATACAAAGACCAACATACTCTAAGTCTATGTTATGCCTAACATACTCTAAGTTTATTTATAAAGTTTTGCCCTTAAAATTCCCATCTCTTGTGTCAGAATCCAAAGTGGTTTGGTGTTTTTTGTTTTTTTTTTTTTTTTTTTTTTTTTTTTTTTTTCCCCTCCCGACACTTAGCCAAAGGCCTTTCCAAATGTAAACCTGCAGCTTTGCTCTCTGGCTTACATTTTAAAACAACCAGGACAGAGTTTAATAATGCAAAGACTTCACCCAATTGTTTAAAGTGGGATGTTACATCAGCTATCTGATGTCAAAATCAGAGTTTGTAGCTTTCTCTTCTGTCATGAAGAATTTTTAGCTTCTCTGATAAGTATAAATTAATGGCATTTACATTTGGTACCAGCCATCAGTGACACTTCAGCACAACTGTTTCTGAAAGAGGGCAGATTTAGACTAGACATTAGGAAGAAATTTTTCACTGTGAGGGTTGTGAGACACTGGAACAGGTTGCTCAGGGACGCTGTGGATGCCCCATCCCTGGAGGTGTTCAAGGCCAGGCTGGATGAGGCTTTGAGCAACCTGGTCTACTGGAGGGTGTCCCTGCTCATGGCAGGGGGGTTGGAACTTGATGATCTTGAAGGTCCTTTCCAACCCAAACCATTCTGTGATTCTTCCTTGTCTATCAGTACCATGCTCACAGTAACATTCAGGGCCCAGAGCAATTGAATTCTGCTAATGAGAACCAACAGGCCTCCAATTCTGTTGTTTTTAGAGGTCTACACAGTCCACATATGTCAGTTGATGTGGTGAAAGAACTCTGGTATTGCAAAATGAATTTAAGTTAGTTGAAAAACAAGCAGTTCCAATTTGACCCAAACAGTACCTTTTCTTCCAGCAGAAGGGAGGACAGTTTATCATGGGTCAGCCCAGAATATCTTTCTTTATGATGCAAAATGAAACATTGTGTCAGACTATGCAAGTCCAGACAATGCACTGCTGACTGCTGAGACATAAAGTGGTAATTCAAGAAACAAGCTGTTACTTGTTTTTAAAAGGAGATTAAATCTCCTTTTAATCTGAATTTTCCAGATTGCACTGGAATAAATGTATGTTATTTACAGATTTTTCTTTTTCCATAGGAGGCTGTCTGTGAAAGGAATACAGCCAGATAGCCACAAAAAGCTCAAGAAGAAGACATGAATTTAAATAAAGAATTAACTGATTTAACTTGCATCTTTATATAGAAGAGGCAGTATGATTTGGGAAAGGCAGAGGACATATTTTTGCCCTTATACTGCAGTCAACCATAGTATTAAGATTAGTTTTTATTTTAAATTTATATCTTGTTCAGCTGAGGAACATACTTAAATTTGATAAAATCGATCATAGCCTTATTTACTCAGATTAATGACTGTACTAGGAGAAATAAATATGGACGCTAATCTTACCTTATGCAGACAGCAGTGAAATTACAAAAAGTTAATGAAGTACATGTCATCTTAACCAACAACAGCTACATCTAGAAAAATGTCTCTGTATATCAATATTAAATTTTATCTTGTATTCAAAGACATGTGGTTTTTTTGGTACCTGCAAGTAAGGTTAGGGTCAGCATTCCTTGACAGAAGCAGTTCTACAGTCTTCAAGATGTTTTCCTCTGAAGCATGTGCAGTACATGCTGCCATCAGCACGCTGTACTTATCTGTTTTGAAACTTGCAGTTAGAGAATTACATATATAAATACCATGCTAATCCAGAACTTCCTTTAAAAACCTTTACATTTGCTAGAGTTGTTAATGGGGTTCTGATACTCTAAGATATTCAGAAAGGGGTAAGAAACTAATTTTCCTCCCAGTGAAAGCCACTAGAATTACCAGGTAAGATAAAGGCATCTGGGAAGAGAAAATACTCAGAAAGATGAGAGTGAATCGCAGCAGTAAAGCATCTACTCCTACTCAAGTTTAGAATACTACTTAAGTGCCCAAAAAAACCCCATTAGGAGTTTAACTACAGATGCTTGTTTCTCAACTCTTGTTCCACACCAGTGGATTCACTCCCTGTTCCTCCCCACCCCTCCTCAAAATACAATCACAGGAAGAAACAGCTGACAGGAAGTTAACTGCAATAGAGAAAAAAAGTGCATGAAATGTATTACAAACACATAGCAACATCAATTTTAGGGAGAACAGAGGCCCATGCAAAGGACAGTCGAAGCAACAAGGCTTTACCATAGGGCTTAAGGTGAAGGAAGTAAGTTTACTCTAGACTACTAGGTGCAGTAGTGGCAGAAGGAAGATTAAAAGTATGTTTTTAGATATGGACTTAAAAACATCTACACAGTCCATAAAGATTCATCAAGAGGAACTAGCATATTTGCTCCAGCTCCGACGCCAGCTGGGTGTTACATGCCACCTTTGCTCACAAATCAGAATTGTACACCACTGCTGTTTGCCCACAGAACAGAGGAGATCTCCTTTCCCATGGTTCTCCTAGAGTGATGCGGGAAACATCACAACTCAAGGCCCTTAGTAAGTTAGCTGGCTGTAGAGTCAATTAGAAGACTGCCACTTGAATAACTGCTCATTTTACTTATTGCACAAACTTGTTCACAAGTCCAAACATGCCTTTAACAATTTAACAAGTATAATTTTAGCTGTGCATACTTCCGACCATACCATGAAGTGTTACAACATATTTTCTAACTTTCTTGTAGAAATTTTAAGAATGTGTTTATATTAACACCTCTATTCTTAACTGAGGTAGGATTTTATTATATTTAAGCATGAAGTTTGTTACACACTTTACCCCCCTCTGCTCTACTTACTTTATCTCTCACCATTTCTTGTACCTCATCCCTTCAAAGACCTTAGTTTTGCATTTATCTGGTTTTTTTTAATATACCATCTTTTAATTTTCAGCTACCTCATGGAGAAGTTCTAACACACATAAATCAGTGTGTAAAATGAAAAACTAACTTTCAGAGAGTCACTTAAACTCCTGAACAGTAAGCAATTAACATTTCAGTAAATTACTTGAAACACTGACAGATTTTTACTCAAAATGTTTAACCCGGTTATCAATAACAACATGAACGGAAAGATGGCAGGACTTTGAACAAAGGTAGTGATAAGCACTGTCAATCTGGGAATGATATCTAAGAGGAACCTGTAGCTATATTAGTATTTCAGGTAGTGACAAAGAGTGCGAAATTAATTTCTTTTAGCCTACCTGTAGCTCACACATGTGAGCAAGAGAAGAAGGGATAGAAACACCTTAGCATTCTCAGGTTTCTCTTTTGCATAGAAAAACTGGTAAGAGACTGTAAAAAAGATTGGCTTATGTCCAGCCTAGCGGAAAAACCCACAAGAGCCACTGAATTTACTCCTCAAGGATGCTGCATTCTGATACCATCACACAGTGAATGGTATATTAGTTCCTTGTTCTCCACAATGACCAAAAAGAGTAAAATTAAGTAACCACTTACGAAGAATGACTGAAATCTGACAAAAGGTGATTAACAGTATAACTATTATTAGGATTAGAGGCATTATAGGATAATTAGTACAGGTTAACTTATGTGATTGCCTGCTGAGGTAAAAAAAAAAACAGCAGGACCAGTGACATTTAGTACCACTTTAGGATGGCATAGCTTTACTGAACATACGTGGCTTGACCTGAATCAATGACTTGCAAGAATGTTCCTGGTAGGATAGTACTCTGTTGCGCAGATGTCCTAGCTACCGCTTCACTACACAGCCTAACAGGGAAACAAGTTGAGAAATCTGATCCTAGCAAGGTGCCACTTAGGGCAAACACAGTTTGTACCATCTGCATTTCAGTCTACTACCATTACAAATATCGGCAAGTTACCCAAAAATATGATTACTGCTTTTATGTATTTGGCTACATTGTGTGTTGCATCAGTTTCTTCTGCATCACAATGTTTTTTTTCTTGAACTTCAACAGATCTTCCAACACAATGAAAGAGAAGGAAAATAACCACAGTTCAAGTAGGGAAAAGTTATTAAGCCATAAAAATTGACAGAGGAACTGATATTACTCAGAAGCTCTGCTGAACTCCTGCAGAAACAGGTGATCTAACAACACACTGAAGGACAGTTTTCACTTAACAGAAAAATGTGCTCTAGTTTTAGAGAAATCCACATTAGCTTCCCATGAACTGGAAAGCTATTCCTGTTGTTTGGGATTCTAACTGGTTTCTGCATGTACATACTTCGTAACAGGATCAAGCAAAGGAAGTTTTAACTGTACAATTTTATCCTAGAATTCCTGAATAGGTATTTCCAAACATTCTTTTTTAAAAAAAGTACTTGGGAATTTGGAGGTGTGGGGTAAAGACAGAATGAGACAGAAAGAACAAGAAAAGCCATCAACTGATTCCAGATCTGTTCAAAGAACACAATTTTTACTTTAAAACTACTACTTTTACTTCAAAACTGTGAAAGTTAGACTAGGTCCCAGTTCCACTGTGAGCTTTGATTTTTTTTCCCTATATATGTAAAAAGAGAATAAGGATAAGACAATGTCTGGTACTGACCATTACTGGCCAGTACTTTTCATTCACATCTTACCTATTTCAAAACATGCATTAGCACCTCTGTCCAGAAGAAGACGCACTACTGCAAAGTCAGCCACACTGGCAGCACACATCAGGGGAGTCCATCCAAACTGAAAGCTAGATTCTATGCTTATACCTGCCAAAATTTAAGATACTAAAATCATAACACAGCACCACAATAAACATGCATTTTATAAACCTTACTCTCTGTATGTATCGTTACAAAGGTTACACACTGTTTGTATTTAGTCCTAGGGACAGAAGTCTCACACCATTTTCATTTTTTTAATACACCTATATATACACCTATACACTTCTATACCTAGAACACCAGAAAACAACTTTTAGCACTGACACAAGGAAGCTCAGTTCCCAATCCAAGAAGTACCACAGAAAGTCTACATTAAAAAACATGTAAGTAATAAATTTAGCTGCAAAAATAATTTCAGAGAAGTGCACAGAATCTGTTTTCTCCACTTATGTGCAATAGCTTTCTTCAAACAAAATAAAAATTTTGATTCTTGCCAAGCTAAGTGGACTGCTGGGGAAGCAAATTGCTTGTCAGTCAGTGAAGATCATACTGACTAGAGTTTTCCTGCTTCAGAGCTCCTTTTATTCTCTGCCTTGCAAGGCAGTTAACTAGCAGATACCAGTTTTGCATTCAGTACTAACAAAGTATTATCTCTATAGTGAAAAGAAATAGAAGATCATGCAAGATTCAAGTCACAATCACCAGATTTGTTTATTACTGTTTATAATAGCCACATCTTCCTTTGTGGCTAGAAATAAGATTGCCAGACAGCCCTCCCAAATTCACCCAGAACCAAGCACCAGACTGAGATACTCATCCAACAGCTTTCAAATAAAAATCTCTATTTTTGCAATATGAACAAACATCCTTCTTTCAATCCTACCTCAAATATTACTTCCTCTATAACAGTTTCCATTATCTGGTTCCATATTAGTTGAACAGTGACTATCAATAGTTAGAAATGCTTCTTTACAAGAGACAGCTCTGAAAAAAACCAAAACTGTCCTAAGACATTTGTGACAGTCAACCTACATGCATTCCTTGCAAAATGTGTATTTACTTTCCCTGCCTTGGCAGTTTGTCAAAGACGTGGTCAGCGTAGCAACATAAGGTCATTAAAGCTGAGGGAGTAACAGGTCATTGCTCTGGGATTGATTCTTCAACTGTTTAAGACCACTGATTTGCAGAAGCATCGATCAGTAAAGAGGTAACATTCAATTAGAGCCAGGTCTTGAAGCACTCTTAACACCTGTAACCCCTGCAAGCCACAGAACTTATCACCAAATCTTCCTAGTAATGCAGGCATACTAGCTGCAGTCCTTAATGTCACAGCACACCAGTCTGCAGTACACAAAACATTTCATTGAAGCCCACAGCCAAGATGTACAAGGAGAGCCAGCAAGCGTCCTTAGCAGTCATATCTGAACTTCCTTGTAGACGAGTCACTTTAAGAATTTAGAAAGCCCACTGAAGTAACACTAGCAGGAAAGGAATACCAGAAAGTTGGAACTCTGTCAGCCTTAAGAAGTCCCTTTTCCTCTTACGAAGAAAAGCAGTTCATGGAACTAGAGGTCCCATCTTGAGCTTTTTATTTTAATATGTATCTGAACAATAGTGACAAAAGATCTATGTGGCAGGCATATAGAGACTTATTACAACTCCTGATCAGTATTTTCCTCTCTGCTTTCTTTACACACATAGCAGACAGTACCCGCCAGGATACTGGTGCATTTTCTAAGTTCTAGAAGTAGAATACTCTTCTTTGGCAATGAAATGTCAAAGCTATGTTACAGCTTGTTTGTCTTGCATGGTTTCCTGCCATCTTCGTAGCGACTGCCTTGAAGTACCACTTGGTGTGAAAGTCACAATGCAAACTAGCTAAAGTCTCAGAGTTGTTGAGTGAACCAGAAATGTCTCCCCTCGGTTACTACTCAGACTCTCTCATTACATGAGCTGTTCCTGAAGTAAGCAGAGTTAGTTCAGCATTTAAAATGACTCTTAAGTAGTCCTATAAGCAACAGTGAAGCCCAGCAAAAAAATTTTAGTGAAAAATTAGGCCAGATTCAACAACCAGAGAGAGACAAGGCTGCTGGCTGCTGCAGTTCCACGCCCCAGCTCCAACCAGTATCGATGATGGGCGTGTATTCTCAGCAGGCACACACATACACCAGCAGCTACAGCCATCAACACAGACAGAGCACTCACATGAACACAGACATCACCAATGGTCTCATCCTGCTCCCCGCTGGGATACATGTATCTCCTTCAGCTGCTGACATCTCAGACACATGGGCCTCTGACCTCCAGCCCTACTCCTATGGCTGGCACGCCCTTTTGTTCACTCCAATCTATACAATTGCTGGCACCCAGGCACAAGGGTGCTAAGACAGCTCTGGCAGCTCCTTCCTCTGAGTCCATCATTTGGATTCCTGCCTGCCTTTGGGCCTCTCTGCTCTTCTGGGCTTGTGAAGATGGGCCTGTGATGGGCTGATGGCTTCCATGACAGGCCTGGGAAGAGCTGGGCCATGGTATTATTTGGGCTCTCCCACCTGCCATTCATTACCTCTCTGTGTTCCTTTGTGGGCATGACCAGAAGAGCTTTTCAGTCACATAACCTCACAAATTATGTCTAGGAGGCAAAGCAAATACAACATTCTTTCTTACAATCTAAGTAATAGATAAATATCCTCCTCTTTAACCAGGAATGGTGAGAAATACATTCTGGCCCCACAAAAGCTCTACAGCAGAAGCTATATGAAGCATGTGAATAACGGTGAAGCAAAAGAACAGCAAAGGAAGAATTATATTATTTCTGTGATTACTACAGTTTCTCCAGTATCTCTTTCAGATATTTTGTTGACCGTGGCTAATAATAATTATGGTGGAAAGGCTGTTTTTATACAGAAAAATGTAACCTCAAATTCAAAACAAGGTTAACAAGGTAATGCCTGAAGACCTATGACTAACCTATATGACCTACATATAGCTTTAAATGCAAAATAATTCTACGTTTGACACACACAAAAAAAGAGATCTTGAAAGACTTGAGTTTAAGAAGTTTAAGAACAGCTCTTAGTATTAGAATTCATTCATATTTAGATCCAATATATCTAAGGGAAGAGTTATAAAAAGCTTGATTCTAGAAGACTTCTAATAGAAGTACTGATTTCTTTTAGGTCTGTCAGAACTTTGTGCTCTGATTCCACAGTACTTTAAAGCTGAGTTAAATCAGAGCTGCTGATGTCTCCTGCTGCTGGGCCAGCTATGGTTCTCATCTGACTCAGGGTTCAGAGTCCTAAACTGGCTGAAAAATTATTCACACACACACCTGCCCTCGCCCTCACAGTTTACTACTACTTTAATTCCCTGAGCTGTCTCACAAAAGATCAGATGAGCTCCAGCAGTTATGCAAAGAGAGGAGTGGAACAGGCTGCTGAAAAAAACAGGAAAGAGGATCTGACTGTAGCAGCATCTTTGATTAGCCTAAACTGTCAGGAGGACCTAACTTTTGATTCAATTTGAGGAAAATTAACATATGAACTACATGGTGTTATGTATTTTACTCCCAAAGCAGACTAAAATGGCCAACTTGTCCCTTGGTTGCACTGCTATTTGTGACACACACTTCAGAAACTTGTTCTTGGTATGTTGCCATTTTATAGGAGGTGTAAGAGAAGACATTGTGCTTGTCTATCTCCTAAAGGAGCTCTGTAAAGCTGCCTCAGCACCAAAGATTCTTAAAGCAATGGCTAAGCAAACCAGTAGACAACATGTTATCACTCTGTCTGAAAGAATGTCCCAACTGTTGCTAGGAAATCCACTTCCAACACAAACCCTGAGTTTGGTTGAGTGCTGGTAGTAAGCCTTCTACAAGCTCTACTGAACATACACTAAAGGCAACTTTGGACACCAAAGATTTAATCTGAGTACCAATCCTCTGAAAGACAATGTTACCTTTTTTCAGGAACACCTCCTTGTTAAGAGAGGCATTGTGTTCTACTGCTCTGCAGGGACAGCACTGGATGGGTCAAAATTTGCTGGTAATCGTATTTTCAGGAAATGATAGATTCTCTTGGGATACTGTCTTGTACATTTCAGAGAACAGGACACTAGACTACAGGAATCTTTGGCCTGACCTTACGCTCTGACAGATACTTATCCTCATTTTCCAACAGCACAGAACTGCTCATTATGTAGCAGGCATCAACACGGAGAATGAACTATTGCTGTTTGACTGAAATACAAGCAATTAAAAAAGGATGGCTGTAACAAAACAATTAAGCAATCTGATGTACAGACATCACAAAAACCTCTACCTATAAATAAGAATATATTTTCTCAAAGCAAGACAGAAGATGTATTTCACTCAGTATTAAACCTCTGTGTTTCAGCCTGTGCACTAGTTTTAACTTAATTTAAAAATAAAACCATCCCTCACTGTGGTGAGAAACAGTGTTCTAAAAGGTAAGTAATGTCATTCTTTTAAAACTCAGAAAACCCCTTTGCTAAGTGGGAAACTACTTTTTTCCAGCCATAAGACCATTTTTCCTCAGAGAACAAGCTCTTGGCTACTATATTCTGCTTGCTTGCCGAAGCAGAACTTCCTGACAATTATCACTAGGCAGGTCAACTCAGCTATGCAGTTTTTGATTGCCCTGGATGCTTCAATAAGGGATCCAATCCTCGTAACACTGAATAACAGAAACACATTACAGACAAATACTGAGTAACAGAACAGGGAGAAAGGCTTTTAGTGTTAAGACAAACTACTTTTTAGTGACAAATGCCACATAAACCCTATTAGACCTTTCAGAATCACAAAATCTTTGTCCAGCTGGTGTTGCTAGGACAGCAGTATTACACAGGGTACATACCAGAAACTTAACAGTGCTGTGAGAAAAAAAAAAAGAGAATTTCCAAACAGGGGAGGGGGCATTAAAACAAAAAGTCAGCCTCCCCTTCCTGACTCTCACAGCAATCTTCAACACCAAAGACCACCCACTGAATTCTCACTCTCAGTTTAAACCACCTCAAATTCCATGTTTGTAATTGATATTTTCAGGTTCAAGATGCATCTGAAAACAAAGAAACACCGTATTTCACTGTTCACGTATTATAGCTTTCTCAATTTTCAGGGCTCCTGACTGATGAAATAAATATAAATTAGAAGGAATTTGCTGGAATGCTGCATGCTGAGTCACTGAAAGAGTAATTTCATCTTTAAAAATAGGGTTTATATCCTGTATTTGAAACACTAACATATTCCTACATGCACTCGACACTTTTTGAAAAAAGAAATTCCAAAGCTTTAGAATTCTTGACAAGTTCAATTTAAAAATAGTCAACTTCATAACTGACTTTCCTCACCAGAGTTTAAGAGTTCTTCAATTAATGACACATCACCACGAAACAGTGCCTTCTTTAAAGCTTCATTCTTGTCTGCCTGCAACATCTGATCCAGCTGCTAGATAAGCAAAGAAAAGTTAAGTCAAAACCTAGTAACTGTTTCAAGGTAAAAATTACAGCTTGATTTCAGTATAAGAGCACTAATGATCTCTGTAAGGACGAAGTGGAGAAAGTGGGGGGAGGAGCTTTGATCTCTGTAGACCTGCTTAGGGTCCACTGTAAAACTCAAGTTTTAAAATCAACTTTTCAGAAAGGTTCCATTCTCTGAAAATGCAAATATCTCCTTTCTCAACAGACGTGCTATCCTCCTACACCACTCCTCAGTTTTTCTTAATGGCATTTGATTTCAACTAAGATTTCTTTTAATCTTTTGGCACCAGAAAAACATTTCTCTACCTTTTTTTTTGTACATTTCACATGTTGCAAAAGCACAGAATTAAAAAAAAATTATCAAAGTTCAAGTTTGGCACAACATAGCTCAATGACTAGCCGTCTGGCTTAATACTGCATGAACCCATTGCTGGAAAAGGTTACTGTTCCTCTTTCCTCCTCCTGTAGTGGCAGAGATTTGGATGAAAAATGCTCTGACCAAAAGACTAGTTTACACATAAGACAGCTGCCTGATTCAAGTTCCTTTCAAAAGTATCACAGATTCATTCTCTATTAGAGCTGCAGATGCAGCAAAAGTTGCTGCTGGCATTATCTAGATTACACAAAACACCTTCATACACCAATAAGCGGAGTAGTAGTCACTAGTTTCTTTGTAGACAGAAGCAGGTATGGAAAGGAGTCTTATTTCATTCTAAGTTTTGAAGTTGTAACATGAGAATTCAGAATTCTACAATTTTCCCCAGCACATTGTAGTCCATCTTTCCAACAACTTTTGTAAATATTTTAGTAAGTGCTAAGTGTCTAGAAAACCAAAGGTGAGAAACACCCAACATAATAATTTTGCCCGATTTTTGTTCTACTCAGTCACCAATTTCCAAATAATGCCTATCTTTGGATAGGAACCTCAATTTAAAGATCAAGGCCCCTGAAAAACTGACTATATCCTTTAACAAGAGTACTGCAAGTATTCAGTTAGTTCCCTTTTCCAATACCAGTCATGAGACAAACTAAAAGCTCAAAAACCTTGAACCATCTCCCTCTACCTCACACCAAGTAGATGCCATAAAGAAAGTCACTTAAGTGTTCATGTTAGCAAGAAACAGTTTCAGGCATTCAAGATATTAAACAGCTTTACAGGCCTCTGGTCACTTTCAAATTTATTCTCATGTTGAAATAGGGACTCGGGTCTGTTACTAAGGGGGTGAAAAGTGTTTTAAAGAAAAATTAAGGTTTTATGTAAGAAGACAAACCCCCAAAATTTAGATTTACTCCTGGACTGAGGGTACACCACCATTACCTAGGTGTAATAATCACAGAGGAGGCGCAGCCGCACCGCTCCCGAGGCCGCCCTTCGCA